CCTCCCTTTCCGCCCCTCGCCCCGACTGACCGTCCCACCCCCCTCCCCCCGCCACCTCCATTGGTGCCGTCTCCCCACCCTAACCCACCCTAACTCACCCTGCCGCACCCCACCTCCGCCGTGGCGATGATGGGAATCATGATGATGATGATGATGGTAATTATGCTGACTACGGTATGACGGCGACCTCTGCAGTCATGCCAAGCACAGCCGCCACCGCCGCCGGCAGCAGCAGCAGCAGCAGCGCGCCGCTGAAGGAGTACTACTCGCTATGGGCAATGCCCAAAGGCAAGTTGGGCGACCAGCTGCGGAGCGAGATTGCCCACCTGGCCCAGCGGTACGGCGGACCCGCCTTCCCCCCCCACGTGACTGTGTTGGGGGACATTGAGAAGTCCAGGGAGGAGGTCCAGGCGCTGGCCAAGGAGCTGGCGGCGCAAGTCAAGGTACGGCGGCGCGCGGCGGTGGATTGTTGAGGGGTCGTTAGGACTCTGTTCAGACCCTCCTCCTCCCTCCTCCCCCCTCCTCTCCCCTCCTCTCCCCTCCTCTCCCCTCCTCCCCCCTCTTCTCCCCGCCCAACCTAGCCGTACACCTTTCTCTCTCATTCCCCTACTTCCACTGCCAGCTCTCCTCCTTTTGGCCCAGCAGTTGACCCCTTGAGCTTCTTGTCATGTGTTTTACCTCCAACCCCCTAAAACACACACGCACACACCTCCCACGTCCCCCGTGCAGAAGTACCGGATTAATTTTGTGGAGGTCACCCAGGGGACGTTCTTCTATCAGAACGTGTTCATGCTGGTGGCGAAGGACGACGGGACTATGGCCGCGGCGGCGGCGGCGCGCAGCGTGTACGGCATGACCACGCCGCCGTACATGCCGCACCTCTCGCTGCTGTACGCCGATATGGATGACGCGGAGAAGGCCAAGGTGGGTTTTACGTTAGGGGTCTGCGGACCCACAACGGTCGGGATTTACCGCTGAAGGTGCCAGGTGTCCGTGTATGGCCCTCCCCCTCCCCCCTTCCATACCTATCTGGCCGCGTCGCTGCGATGGCTATTACCCAAGGCTCTACTGGGCGGTAACTTTGGGTTTGGGGGTTTTAGGGTCTAAGAAAACTTAGGGTTTTTTTAAAAACCTTCCCGATGCGGTGCGTATCTGTCTGTGTAAAATATCAGTCTATCCCTGGTATCAACAGCGTCACTCGTGTCTTATCACCCCCCACCCCCACTAGCCCGCCTCTCTCGTAACATGCCGGAGGGATGTACGTGGTGGCTACGCACCACTGATCGAGTGTCGTACACGCTCCACAGGTCGTCGAGTACGAGACCGGCCGACTGTACGGCGAGTCCTCTGGGTACGACACGCTCCTGGTGGAGACGGGGTACGAGGTGGACAGTTTCACGTTGTGGTACAGCCCCATAGAGGACCGGACCACCCGGTCCTGGTGCCTTGTGGAGGAGTACCCCCTGACCGGCTGATGATGCGGTGTGGTGGTGTGCTGATGTGGTGGTGTCATGATATGGTTTCTAGACGGCGTTTGAGGCGTAAGATGTAGGTGTGGTGGTGGTGGTGGTGGTGCAGAAGAGGGGAAAAGAAGCAAGAAGCGGATCTATGGCCATTGGCTGGGGTGTTTCTTTTCTCTTTTCGTCTTTCTTCATTTTCGTACTTTTTTGCTCTACCAGTGTATTAGTTCTGACTTGCAGGCGTTACTGTTGGAATTTGTTAGGGTGCTGTGTTGATGTGGTGGTTATCGTCTTTGTTGTTATCGTTGTTCTTCGCTCGGAAGGAGGGCAAATAAAGGTCTCACAGGGTGGATCGGTGGGACTGGGTGGAGGTCCCGGATAACCGTACAGTTGCAAGGGGGGGGGGAGGGGCAGGCTGTCCGTGTCTCGTTCGGAGTTCGTGATGGGAAATGGGTGGTGTTGGGACGAAGGAGGGGGGATAATGGACGAGGGGTAGGCGTGCGGCATTGTTACGCGACCTGCCGCAAGCTGGTCTCCCTTTCGTGGAGGTTCATCCGCACGGATATCCGTCTCAACAGCACGCCAAGATCAGATGCGTATGTCCCCAATATCTCGCTTATGTGGGTTGCCGGGGAAGGCCGGGGTAAATATTGACGTTCGTCCGTCTGTATGATGTGTGAAACAGGGGGGTATATCTTCACCCGTGGCAGCTACCCTGCGAAACCCTGCCCTCCCCCGTATTTCGGGGCACCTTCATCTAGTCACCCTAGTAAACTTCTCAGTGGATCGCTCAGGTTCCGCACCCACCACCAGCATCCAACGGAATCGGCCGGGTCGACAGCGGCCCAACTCCATTCCTGGTCGGCTCGCAGATTAACTTTATCCCAGGTCACCGCCGTCCATCAACTAGGGGCGCACTGCCTTCCACAGGTCTCGAAATATTGACGTTCGTCCGTCTGTATGTATCTGTCCGTCTGTAATGTGAACCTGAGACGGCCAACGGTCCGATTAGTACAACATGCCACTCGTGTGCATTGCCGTACAAACTTCCAGTACCTTGTTCCTTCCCAGCATCCTGCCGTGCGCCTTTCCGCCGTACATGTACCATGCAGGCCAGTATGAGCGACACCCCACCGCGCAAACAGGATTGCCACCTCTTATGGTCCTCAACGCGCAGATCTGCTACCGTCCAGCTGTTTCTCCTCTCCTGCATATATATATATTTATCTCTCACTCACACACTCACACACGGAGTCGTCATCCCGCATCGCGTCAACCTAATCCCTGCCCCTCGCAACCCCTGGCCCCTTCTTTATTTCTTCCCCTCTGTTTTTCAGCCCCACGTCCCCTCCCTCGCTCTCCCCCTCACAAATCGACAGACGAGAATCCATGCATGCGGACGCTCGGGGGCCGGAGCGCACATGCCACCACCACTAACTACCATTACCACCATGACCAACACGATATTGGTTCGATATACGGAAGCAAACTAACCAACTAACAACTGAACCAAATAGCCAACAAATCGTTGGTTTGAGCCTATAAAGAGGGGGGCAGAAGGAGCCATCTCTTGCCTCAACCCCCGGGGGGTGTGGGGGGAGGGAGGAGAAGTAGCGCTTGAGCAGCAAGGAGACCGCACGAAGGCAGGCACTGGCAGCAGCACACTGGTCGCGCAGCCGGGAAGCGGGCAGGACTATTACTGCGAAGTGTAGGGGCCCCGGGTGTCCCCTCTTAACAGGGCTCCTTCCCCTCGTGGACATATCTACGTCCACGGGTTGGAGATCTGGTCGTACGGGATCAGATTCTTGCCCTTGACCAGTGACAAGATGATGTCGGGGTTGGAACGCAGCATGGCCGTCACCTGTACGGGTGGTAGTGGGTGGTACGGGTGGGTGTTAGTGGGTGGTACGGGTGGGTGTTAGTGGGTGGTACGGCTGGGTGTTAGTGGGTGGTACGGCTGGGTGTTAGTGGGTGGTACGGCTGGGTGTTAGTGGGTGGTACGGCTGGGTGTTGCAAAGGCCCTTCGCAACGAAGTGCCTCCTCGGGCAGCGCCACAAGCGCGACCGCTCTTGCCTCATCCTTCTTTCCACCCCTCTTCCCGTCTCTGCACCTCTCACACGTACACACGTATGTACATATGTGTTTACATACACATGCACAGAAGCACACAGACACAACCCTACACACAACCCTACACACAACCCTACACACACACACACACACAGTCCGGTCCAGACGCACATCTGTCCCGGGCAGGATCCTCCGCGCGTCCTCCAGAGCCATTTCGAAGCACTCCACGTCCAGCACCAGCGGAAAGGTCTCCACAAAACTGAAGAGAGGCCGACAGGCAAAGCCAGGGAGGGGGGAAGGATAAAGGGGAGGAGAGGGACAGACCAAACACGAGAAAACTTAACACGAAACCATTGCTGCTGCTGCTGCTGCTGCTGCTGACGACTAGGGGAATTTTGGTGTGGGTGGGCGGTGGGAAGAAGTAAGACGTGGGTGGCAGAGCTGAGCACATTTGCACGCGGACTTGGAGGCAGAGGAGAGAGGGAGTGGACGCGTGGGCAACCCGGAGAGGGGGAAGGGGGATTGAGGGGGGGGGAGGGAAATCATCATATGCGAGGAACGCAGAAATGAACTGCTGTCCGCGTCTAACGTCCGAAACTGCTGGAATCGTGCGCAATGGAGTCAACGACGCATCTCGTAAGGACAATCAGCACGACGACCTGTAGCGACGGTCAGAAAACATGCGAAAGAAACGAATTATGGGTTAGCACGATGGAAAAAACGGGATATGTATGTATGCGTACGGAAGTACGGATGAGATGTACAAAAGCAAAGGACAAGGATGAAGCGTAAGTCCTCCTGTGGTAACAGCAGCTCCAGAGAAGATGATAGAAGTGCAATGGCGTGGGCGTAGAGTTCAGGGTCGGTCCTTGGTTCAAGTTGAGGGGGAGGGAGGGAGGGAGTGAGAGAGGGAGAGAAAGAGGGGGAAGGGGAGCGTGTGCATTGAAGAACGCCCGCATGAGCCTGTTTTGACATGAGCGGCAGCCAGTGGTGAGAGTGGAGCACCGGGAACGTCCCCAGGTGCTAGTTACGCAGTAAAACGAGGTAAGCTGTGCAACGGCAAAACGGCCGCACCCACTCTTCCACAGCCCCTACGACCTCTTCCACTCACTCCCCCGCTTGACCAGTTTTAGGTACATGTACACCCCCCTACTTCTGCACCACCCTATACCCCCCGCCATCCAGCCCAGTTCTCCCTAGCAAGACGGTCCACCTTCGCGCACAGAACTACCAATTACCTTACAGCTTATTTTCACCCGCTTAACTCCCACCACGCACCTCACCTCACCCCACCCCACCCCACCCCACCTCACCTCACCTCGCCTCACCTCACCTCACCTCACCTCACCTCACCTCACCTCACCTCACCTCACCTCACCTCACCTCACCTCACCCCACCCCACCCCACCTCACCTCACCTCACCACCCCCACCCCGCCAGCCAGGGCGCCCCCCAGCAACCCACCGGTCCAAATGTATTCCGGGCAGCAGCTCCCTCAGCCTCTCCGCAGCCGCCTCCACCTGGCCCATCTCGTCATCCAGCAACAGACTAAGCCGGTTGCCCACCATGGTGGATAGGTTGGCCTGGGCGGGGGAAGGGGGAAGGGAGGAGGGGGAGGGGAGTTCGGGTCTTCCCTCAGCTAA